CCGATGAAGTGAGCTGTAGCTCACGAAAGCTTATGCTCTAATAAATTTGTTAGTCTCTAAGGTGCCACAAGTACTTTTTTTTTTACGGCTGCAGACTAACACGGCTGCTACTCTGAAAAGAGAGATTAAGAAAGCCCTGTATCAGAATACTCCACTGCCCAGTGTCTAGGGCACTCTCCTGCAATGGGAGCAGTGATTTGAACCTGGGTCTGTCACATCCTAGGTAAGTAGCCTAACGGTTATGAGGAAGGCATCACCACCACCTCCTCCAGCTATTTTGTGAATTCTTTTCTTTGGTAAAAAGGCCAGAAAAATAAAAATGATTTGTTTTAAATAGAAATCAAACATTTTGTTTGACATTACCAAAAATGTTTCAAATTTTTCAGTTTGGTTGAACCTATTTGTCAAACTCGACGCAAATAGTTTTGGTAGCCTCAAAACTGCATTTTTCAGCAAATAAACTGTTCATCTGAAACTTCATCCAGCTCTACTTAATTCTTCTTTTCCCTGATATTTACAGAATATTAAACGCTTAGGCTGCTCCTATCATGTTGACGAATATTATTTCCTTGTACTCCAGGATCTGTTGTTTCATCTTATACTTAGATTGGAAGCTCTTTGGGGCAGGATGGCCTTTTTTGTTGTGTGTGGGTACAGTACCTAGCACTATGGGGAGCTGGGCACTATGGTAATACAAATAAATAATAAGTCCTAAATCCACAAGTGAGAACTTATGTTACAATTTTTATTACAGGTCATCAGGTCTGAAGCATACAACTCCCTTTCACTTCTAGGTCAGGGGTTCTCACAACAAATTATTTTGGTGGTCTCAGACTGTGGCCAACAACTCCTTCTGGTGGCTGCTCAGACAGTTTCCTAAAATACTTAATTAACTTTAAGAAAAAACAAACAAATATGCACATATACATTTCCAAATCATTGCAATTCCTTTATGTAGGGTTTTGTTTTGTTTTTTGCAGACCCAATAATAAAAATAATGTATAGTTGTATTTTGGTGCCCCCGGCCCCTGCTGCCTCCCCAGGACTCTCTACCACCCCCCCTGGACACTATTGCTCCCCCGCTGCATTGCCCCAAGCTCCCTTCCAGGGCCTCGCAACCCTGGCTCACCCTGCTCCTTGCCTCTTGACCATGGCGTGAAGCCCAGAGCCAGAGCCCCACATCTGGACCTGGGGCAGAGGGGGGCTGAAGCACAGAGCACCACCATCCTGGGTGGGTTGAAGCCCAGAGCCCACCACCAGTGGCCCATGGCTGAAGGGGGCAGGGTGGGGGCTGAAGCTCTCCCACAGAGTCCCATGGCTGAAGCCAAGCAGGGTGGGCTGAAGCTTGCCACCGGAGCCTCGGGCTGAAGCCAGGCAGGGGTTGGGGTGTGAAGCCTGCCCCCACAGTCCCACAATTGAAGACGGGGGGGGGCGGGGGGGGGAGGAGAGAAGAAGAGGGGGGCAGAAGCCTGCTCCAGGTCCTGCAGGGAGGGGCCACTGCTTTACCCCCTCCCCATCTCTGCCCAGGATGCTGTCGTGGTTGCATCTGAGAAACAATGCTCTAGGTTACCAGTTTCAATATGACTAAACCTGTTACTGACCAAAAACAACCTTCTGATGGCTATTCAGGGCCTTTGTAAAATGTCTTCCTCACTTCTAGTGATAAGTGTGCACATCTTCATCTAAGCTAGTGCTAACTGGAACACTTTTTGGCTGTTTCAGTAAGGGGTGCCAAAACTGGAGCCTGAACTATTTTAGCCATTCTACAGATGTTTGCCCACTATGTCAAGGTTGAGGCAGGTTTGCTGTTACTGTCTGTTCTGAACCTGTGGATAAAGAGAATTTAGGGTTTCTAGGTTTATCAATCTGACATCTTGCATCATTACAGCTTTAAAACAGTTTTAACTAATTCTGATTTGTTTTAGAAAAGAATAAGATATACTTACACATTATCTCCTCGAACAATGTACAATCCCAATACTACTTGTTCAACTCCTTGTGAAGAACTGAACACTCGTTCATGGCTTTCATCCAAAATCAAGTTGATGGTCTGATCAAAACCTTTGAGGGTTCCCTGAAAAGCGCACAAAAAATTTAAGTGTTCCAATTATCTTTAAGTTTTTCATTTCAGCTCACAAGAATAATTCAGGCAGCAATATACTGTAGAAGAGATGATCAATCTAGATTTTACTCTGAGCTTTAAAGCTGAATAAACATGTACTGTTAAAGATTGGAACTTGATAGCAGACAGTCAGGTTAAGATGATTATCATGCACTATCACGTGTTACAAGTAACAGTTAAGATTACTGTAACTTAGTATTAGAGCAGTGGTTTTCAAACTTTTTTCTGGCAACCCAGTTGAAAAAAACTGTTGATGCCCACGACCCAACGGAGCTGGGGATGAGGGGTTTGGGAGGGGCTCAGAGCTTGGGCAGAGGGTTGGGGTGCAGGGGTGAGGGCTGCGGGGTGGGGCCAGGGATGAGGGGTTTGGGGTGCAGGATGGGGATCTGAGTTGGGGGGCGGGCCTCAAGGCTGGGGCAAGGGTGCAGGAGGGGGTATGGGCTGGGGTTGCAGGCTCTGGGGTGGGGCTGGAGATGAGGGGTTTGGGATGCAGGAAGGGGCTCCGAGGGCTCAGGGCTGGTGCAGAGGATTAAGGTGTGGGGTTGGGGCAGAGGCTTACCTTGGGTGGCCCCCGGTCAGGTCAGTGGCACAGCAGGGGTGCTAAGGCAGGCTTCCTGCCTGTCCTGTCACCACAGACCACACTGCACCCCAGAAGCAGCCAGCAGCAGCTCCAGCTCCTAGGCGGAGGTGTGCAAGCAGCTCCACACAGCTCTCGCCCACAGGCACTACCCCACCCCCAGCTCCCGACCAATGGGAGTGTGGAGCTGGTGCTCGGGGCATGGGCAGCGAGTGGAGCCCCGTGGCCCCCCCGCCTAGGAGCCGCACCTGCTGCTGGCTACTTCCGGGACACAGCACGGTGTCAGAACAGGTAGGGACAAGCCTGCCTTAGCTGGGCAGCACTGCCGACGGGACTTTTAACGGCCCAGGACTTTTTAACGGGCTGACCAGAACTGCCACGACCCAGTGCCTTACATTCCGCGACCGAGTACTGGGTCACGACCCGCAGTTTGAAAACCACTCTATTAAAGGCAGTTACTTTTTTCAAATGTACTTTGTGCAGTTGATGGTCAATTAAAAATAGCGAATTTCCCCATTTCTGCTGTATATTTAGTTTTCCCTGTTTGTGTGGGTCTTTCATACCCCAACAATATTTGAAACTTGTTTTTAAATTGACAGGATTTTAAAAGTGATGTCTCTTTAAAAAAAAAAGGTTATTTAGGCTCTGTAGGAAAGATGAACAATGTTCAAGATGAGCAGTTTCCATGCTTTGTTATTTGAGTGTGGCATCTGCCATTAGAAGGTTAATGCTCTAGTTATTTTTTAAAAACCCACATAATCCAAACAACACTATTTACATAGTACTAATTTTATATTCACCACAATCATTCTTCCATCAGAAGTAATTACTGCAACAGTACCTAACAGTACAGTCAAGGAAATGTTTAAAGAAAACATATTCACAGCTTGAAACAAGATGAAGGTGTTGTGTTCAACACAAATCTGGAGTATTAACTATGATTCAAGAGATTAACTTTGTGCCTTAAAAATTTCTTACTCAAAAAATTGTTAAAGAAATGTGTTAACTGACTGATGAAATCAACCTCTGAAATTAGCAGTGGTTTGGGGTAATTTTTTTGTTCTGTCAAACCAGCATCACTGTGCTTTTCTTTGCAGGAGAGTAAAAAAATCAAAGCAGCAGACCCCCAAAAATATAGAGACAAGTATTTTCCTTTATCATCAGGACAGCCTCAGACAGCCTGTGCTGGCTCCCTAAAGCGTTTTAGATATCCCATCCCGTTACAGTTTCTGAGTCTGGGCTATTTATTTTGTTCACAGTCACAGAATTTAAGACCAGAATTGGATCATTAGATCATCTACTCTGACCTACATATCACATTTCACCCACTTACCCCCATATTGTCCACCATAACTTGTGTTGTTCTAAAATATACTACCCCAAAAAACCAACCAGTGTTGTGCTGAAGACATCAAGAGACGTAGACTCCACCATATGCCTGGCTAGTTTGTGCCAATGGTAAATCACCCTCACTACTAAAAATGTACACCTTATTGTCAATTTGAATGTGTCTGGGCTCAGAGTAGCACCCTGATCTGTCACAAAAGCTCATGCTCAAATAAATTGGCTAGTCTCTAAGGTGCTACAAGTCCTCCTTTTCTTATTGTGAATACAGACTAACACGGCCTCTGAAACCTGTTCAGACCTGGCGTTTTCATCCACAGAGCTGGGGGGGGGGGGGTCCACTATCATTAGCCCCAGTTTGCAGACAGGGAGACTGAGGCACACGCCATGAGGGACGTGACCTGCCCAAAGTCAACCAGCCGGGCAGCGGCAGACCCCAGAACCAAACCAGGTCTCCGGAGTCCCAGCTCTGCCCCCTAGGCCACGCTGCCCCACGCCAGAGAGCACCGCAGGCAGCACCGGCCCAGCCCCCTCCCCGCAGAGCCCCACGGACCGGGAAGACCGTGGCCTCCATCCCCGCCCGGGCTGAGCCAGGGGGTGGGTGTGTGTTGGGGGCGGGTCCCACAAGGAGCAGCAGCCGCCACCGACCCCTTGAAGGCGGAGGGAGAGAGAGAGGCCACTGTAGACCCCACTCCGCCTCCCCACGGCTCCCCCGCCCTCCCTGCACGGCTCGCGACTCTCAGCAGCACACGTAGCCCGGCGGAAGGATACGGTTGATGTAGTTCTCCAGCGCGGAAGTCATGGCGGCGAGGGCTCCGTTCCGCGCGCTACTTCCCAGCACCACCGGGGCCGGCAACCGGCTCTCGCGAGACTTCCCGCGCCGAACGTTCAGTGACGCCGCGGGCTTGACGCACTGCGCACGCGCAGGATTGGGAGGGGCTTGGGGGAGGTGTGTGGGGTCGGGTTTCCTCCAGTGCGGCCGCCAGGGCTGTCCCGCGGCTACGACAACCCCCGGGCGGGCGTGGGGGGGCCAAGCATTGGCCCCTCCCTCAGACCGATGGGACTCGCGGCTGAAGAAGGAGCAAGGTGAGTTCTCCCGGGGAGGGACAGTGGTAGTGATGAGCTGCCAGAATCTTAACAAGCGGGGCCCTGTAAAAAGTTCTGGTTTTAGGGGTGGGCCCTGGTATGCATTTTTTGTACCTCCAGGGTTACCATACGTCCGTATTTTCCCGGGAGGAATTTTTAAATTTTAAAAATTCCTCCCGGACGGCGATTTAAGAACCAAAAAGCCTGATCTGTCCGGAGGCATGTTAACCCTGCCTAAAGTTCTTCTTTAGAAAGATGGGCCTGAACTAGGAATGAGCTGCGTTTCACACGGGTGGGTCCCCGCCACTCCCTGGGGGTGTGCTCGGGTGACCAGATGTCCCGATTTTATAGGGACAGTCCCGATTTTGGGGTCTTTTTCTTATATAGGCTCCTATTACCCCCCACCCCCTGTCCTGATTTTTCACACTTGCTGTCTGGTCACCCTAGGGTGTGCACATGTGTGGGTCCCAGCTGCTCCCTGCCCCCCTCATTGAAGCAGGTGTGCAGGGTTACTGCCCTGGGAACTGCAGGGCACCAGTGGATGTGGGGCTAGCTGCAGATGGGGCGTGGGCCAGGCTAGCTGGAGACGGAGTGCGGGGCTGGCTGCGGGCAGGACGTGCGGAGCTGGCTAGATACAGGAGGATGTGGGGTTGGCTGGAGACAGGGCAGTGGCTGACTGGAGGTAGGGGCTGGCTGCAGATAGGGCAGGGGGTGCGGCAGGCACCGGCTGCAGGCAGGGGGTGCGGGGGTGGCTGGAGACAGGGGCTGGTGTGGGCAGGGGGTGGCTGGAGGCAGGGCAGGGGGTGCGGCAGGGGCTCGCTGCAGGCAGGGGGTGGCTGGAGACAGGGGTTGGCTGCGGGCAGGGTGGTGGGTACTCACGGGGAGGGCGGCTCCGAACAGCCCGAGCAACAGGACGCAGCCCAGGCCCAGCAGAGCAGCTGGGGAACCACCAGGCAGCAGCAGGAACCCCGGGGTCGGGGGAACAGCAGCAGCAACAGGGCTCGTGTCCAGGGCCAGGCGGCAGCCCACATGTCTCCCGCAGTGCAGCTCCCCCAGTGGCCGGAGGAGGAATTACATCACTTCCTAGCCAGAGCCCATCAAAGCCTCCGCACCCCCTGCAGGGAAGCAGGTTAACAACCGGTTCTAAAACTGCTTCAATATTTAATAACCAGTTCATGCGAACTGGTTCCAGCTCACCACTAGATAGTGGGGCTCGGGCTTCAGCTCTGGGGTGGCCGGCGGTGGGACCCTGTGGCTGCGTGGACCAGGGCTGCGGCCACGGGGCTTCAGTCGCCAACTCCCAGCTCCAAACATGGGGTTTCGGGTGCTGACACCCAGCGCTGGCCACGCGGCCCTGGCTTTTAGCCAGGGGGCGTCAGGCTCTGAGCCCTGGCCGTGCAGCAGCAGGCTCTCACCGGGGCTCCAGCCCCCAACTCCAGGTTCTGGCCGTGGGCACTGCCCCCCCGGCCCTGGCTGTGCCACTCCTGCCTTGGCTCTGGGCTCTTGCCGTCACGGGCACTGATTCATGGCAGCGGGTGCCAACCCCCGGCTCCAGCTGAGCAGTGGCAGCGCTCACCCCCCATCTCCCCTGGACCCTACTGCCTTCCTGGCCCTGCATCCATCCCTCCATTGCCCCCGTGCCTCCCTCTCCAACCCCGCTATCCAGGGCTTAATTTGTCCTGGGACTTGCTGAGAAACGTGATATTAACAAACATGCAAGTATCTCTTTTCACAGCAGACATACTAGCTAGCTGGGAAGCTGTGAAAAGTGATACTTGTATGTATGATAATATCACTTAGTAGCTACCTGGGAAGCTGTGAAAAGTAATAAGTGTACTGTGAAAAGTGATTTATATTTAACAAACAGAAAAGGAGTACTTGTGGCACCTTAGAGCCTAACAAATTTATTTGAGGTTAAGCTTTCGTGAGCGACAGCAGCTCACTTCATCGGATGCATCTGATGAAGTGAGCTGCTGTAGCTCACGAAAGCTTATGCTCAGATAAATTGGTTAGTCTCTAAGGTGCCACAAGTACTCCTTTTCTTTTTGCGAATACAGACTAACACGGCTGCTACTCTGAAACCTGTCATATTTAACAAACATATAAATATCACTGTTCAAAGTATTTTTATTGGATCTGCAAAAAAACTCTACACAAATAAATTATAGCAATCTGGATGTTTATATGTGCATATGCATTTGTTTTTCCTAAAGTTCATTAAGTATTTTAGGAAAAAATGTCAGTGTGGCCACCAGCACCAGTTGGTTGCTGCAGTCTGAGGCAAATTTTGTTGTGGGAATCCCTGGGCTAGAGTATCTTTTAGAAAGACATCTTGCTCTGATGGAATTTTAGAGACAATTGAATGTTATGTTTCTCATTGGAGGCAGAATATAATTCACCTCTTCAATACCAGGTGGTCAGAGTTTGAACAAGGGCCAAACACAGGCCTTGGAGCTCCATGGATTGGCCTTGCTTATTTCAGTATCAGCGTAGCACAGGCAGATAGCAGCTCCTGTCAGGCTATTTGCTGTCTTGATCTCAGTGGCCTAACCATGCCACGTTCGAGGATCAGTCATCTCTGCGGACAGTGTGTATAACATACAGCTATCTGCTGGTTCTTAGCAAACAGCCACAGCAGAACTGGGCCAATCTGGGCAGCCTAGTCTCAAGCACTCTTGTTCCTGTGGCTTGCTTGACAGGGCACAGTCTGTGTCCAGAGCTGGGCAGAGGAGCAGTTATTAGGGCCCTGCCCCTTGCCCCCACCATCACACCCTGACTTGAAAGCGTTAAAACTCAGCCACTTCTCTCTCCTCCTCTCCCCTCCCACCCGCTCAGGACAGCCTGGGGCGGGCTGCAGGCACGCTCTTCCCATCTGCCACCCTGCAGAGAGAGGACTGCAGGGGCATGGAGCTAGCCTGGGAAGACCAGGAGCTGTAGGGTGCAGTTGCAGGCATGTCACACTAGCCCAGGGGTTCACAAGCTGTCAGCCTCCACCCTAAACTCCTCTTTGCCTCCAGCATTTATAATGGTGTTATAAATTAAAAACACATTTTTATATATTTATGGGGGGGGGTCACACTCAGAGGCTTTCTATGTGAAAGGGGTCACCAGTGCAAAAGTTTGAGAACCACTGCACTAGCCACTGTGCAGCCCTGGCAGTCCCTTGCCTGGGAGGGATGTGCAGCTGCCACCCAACACCTATTGCCTCAATCCTCTCTGCACCACCCCACCACAGCCAGTCTGGCCTGCACATGCACGCTGAGCGTATCCACAAGCATGCCTACCCCTACTCATCTTTATAGGCTTTTAAGCGCATGCGCACTGAGATTTTCTGGCTCCGTCCAGCCGCTGCAAATTCCCGCCCTAAAGCGGTGCGTGATAGGTGTCAGCCCTGCCTGAGATTTATGCAATTTAATCAGTGTGTGTGCGCGCGACAGGTTCAACTCCCTAGTCCAGGCAAAAGTCGTGGGACTGATGCAGGAGTTAGTGGGTGAAATTCTACAGCCTGTGTTATGCAAGAGGTCAGACATGGTGATCATAATGCTTCCTTTTAGCTTTAAAAATCTAAAAATGACCATGTGTTTCATTTTCGAGGCACTCATCACTTGGTTGCCATATAAGCCTCTGATTTTATCTCCTGCTCTGCCCTTGTTCTGCCTATGTGTTGCTTCTATGCATCCATTTATCTCCACATCTTCCTCACATCCTGGTTAATCATAATTAACACAGACAATGTTTCCTCAACTTCTTAAAAAAAAAAAACACCAGTCAAACTCACTTACTCTGCAGTAAATTCTGAATAAAATGATCTTCTGTGACTTTGTTTCTGTACTGTATTGAACCAACCTTAGAATATAATCCCTTAAGGGCAGGGATCTCTTAATTATTTGGCACACATTACCTGTTGTACAACACCATGTATATGTATGTATGGTTCTATATCCGGTAAATACAAATAATACATGTACTTCTGCTAAGTACATACACACTATTCTGTTTAGGTTCTCATACCTCACTCTTTACCGTAGTATCTGAGGGCTTCAAATTATTATTTATTTGTTTAGTATAGTATTGTTGAGAATATGCTAGGTGCTTTACATACATGTAAATTACACTGCCATTGTAGAAAAAGGTGCTTGTGATCTTCATATGGTTAGGGCCAACTCCCCTAAGCACTGTCATTGAAAAAAGCACTGCTAAAAAGTGAGCAAGAAGTGAGCAAAGTAAAGCTTCTAAAGGCAGCTTTAAATTGCATCTTTTCTTCTCAGCCCCGTGAGAAAGTAGTTGTTATTGATGTCACTGTGGGGGTATTGCTCCTTCAGGGGGAATAAGGTATGCTTACAGGCTGGATCATTAACAAATTGAGTATATGGCATATTAGTGATACAGGTATCAGGGTCTGTATGCACTGCAACTTTTCACCTTTGGAAGATCAGCTTTCCGTTACTGAATGAGGGGACATTATGTCCATGATAGATTTCTCTCTGAATGCATCAGATGTATGTGGATATAATTTCTGTTCTGATAGTTATGTTGAAATTCTTTATTGCATATAACTATAAACAGCAATTCCAACAACATAAATATCAAGGAGAACCTCATTCTAGGTCTGACAGGCATGACTATTGCACAAGTCCTCACTTACAGACAGCCCCCCGACCTGAAGCAAATACCAGCAACCACACAACAAAAACACTAGCCCAGGAACCTATCCTTGCAACAAAGCCCATTGCCAACTCTGTCCACATATCTATTCAGGGGACACCATCATAGGACCTAATCACATCAGCCACATCATAAGAGGCTCATTCACCTGCACATCTACCAATGTGATATATGCCATCATATGCCAACAATGCCCCTCTGCCATGTACATTGGCCAAACCCGACAGTCTCTACGCAAAAGAATAAATGGACACAAATCAGACATCAAGAGTTATAACATTCAAAAACCAGTCTGAGAACACTTTAGCCTCCCTGGTCACTCAATTTCAGACCTA